ATGTGTGTGTGTGTGTGTGTGTGTGTGTGTGTGTGTGTGTGTGTGTGTTTGAGTGTGGGGTGGTAAGTAATAATGTTGGCATGTCTTTAAATGTGTGGCTCTTGGTGTAGGCCTCCGTGTGTCTTTGTGTGGCAGCTTGGGCGTGGGGGTGAGAGTTTTTTTTTAAGGCCTATAACTATTACAAGTGTGGTCGTTATTTTAATATTTAATATCTTGTAAAATTCTTGTATATTTTTTTCTGTTAATTATGTTACTATACACATTCATATAGTTGGTACAGATCTTGTTGAGATTTATTTTTTGTTTGTGTTGTTGTTGTAGTTGTAGCTGCTGTAATTGCGGCTTCGGCTGCTGATGATGTTTTTGTTGTTGTTAGTGTTGTTGTTGTTAGTGTTGTTGTTGTTAGTGTTGTTGTTGTTGCTGCTGTGGTTTTTGTTGTTATTGTTGTTGCTCTTGCTGCTGCTGTTGTTGTTGTTGTTGTTGTTGTTGTTGTTGTTGTTGTTGTTGTTGTTGTTGTTGTTGTCCTGAAATGATTTGATGCTGTTCACTGTCCAATATTTCTTGAGGTCAACGTGTTCGTTCGTTTGTTTGTTCGTTTATTTGTTTGTTTTAATACTTAACCAATACCTTTCCGTAGTATTATTTTGTCATGTAAATATTAATCGTAGAAAAAACAGTCATTGTGACAGTAAATGTAGTTTAAGTTCTTTTGCAAACTTTATTTTACTTTCCCCTGTATTATTCCCATAATAAAATAACCCAGTTTTTGTGTGGTGGTTTTTTTTTTCGATCTACAGTTTTGAACCTGCCTCTTCACCTCAAAAGTCCCCTGGCTACTCTCTCCTCTGACGTGACTCGGTGTCAATAGAATATGCGCATGCGCAAGCAAGTTGTAGAAGCTCCGCCCAAGATGTCCGTCATTTCCTGTATAGAGGGAGAAGATCCACCGCCAGTCTCGCTGGAGGCCGAGAGGAGGAAGACGATGACCATCATACACAAAGTGGAGAAGGAGATCCCAGCCTTTAGAGAAAAGTAGGATTTCTCTAAGCATCTTCTCACTAAAAAAGAACACCCTTATCACACCTGCAGGATAGTAATAATGATAGTGATGATAATAGATAGCATTTGTACAACCCATTTCCCGCTCAACAGCAAACTCTACGCGCTTTACAATCTATAAAAAGCAAGGCATACCCAGGGGGAATTATCGGGGTTTTTCCCCTTGCTTTCCTCATTTGTCATAATTATATGTCTGCTTGAACTGCAGCTGTATCCTGCTCTATCAAATCTTCATTCTTTTTCTAAATTCTGGTACGTAATACTTGCTTGTACATTGAAACCTGTCTTCTTTATGCCTAAAATGCTAACTCATTCATACTCTTTCAAACTAAACTTGCTGCGATAAAGAAGGACATTATGCTTAAGACTTGTACTTAAAAGTTAATGAAGACGAAGCCCCAAACCTCGTATGTGATCTTAGAAATGTCTAAATTACATCATTTTTGTTTGTTTGTTTGTTTCCATTAATTTTTTTTCGGGGGGGGAGGGCATAAGACTAATACAATTATTTTCATTTTAGGGCTATGTGTGTTTGTGGGGAGGGGGGGGGGGGTGTATCCGTGTGTCTGTGTCTGTGTGTGTGTGTGTGTGTGTGTGTGTGTGTTTGTGGGGAGGGGGGGGGGGATACTGTGGGGCTGTTGGTGAGGGCCTTCGTGTATCTATGTGGCTGAATATATTATGTACGTGTGTGTATTGTATGGAGCAGACATAGGCGATTGTGGTTCTCCGTCCCTCTCTTTCTCTCGAGGCCCGCGTGAATGAGTTGCTGTTCATAGTGTGTTTATAGTTGTCCAGGGGCTCAGGCTATAGCATATGAATCTTTTATGAATTCGTTAGTATTCTCTATTGTTATTAGCTTCGACTTATTTTTCATGTTATACTTTGATGTTACAACCGTCCATTTTCATGTCAGTATTAGTTGTTACAAGCATCTTTTTTCATGTCGTAGTAGTTGTTACAATCATCTATTTTCGTGGCATAATTAGTTGTTACAACTGTCTATTTCTCTGTCAAACTTTTTGTTACAACTGCCTATTTTACTGTAATACTAATTTTTACAACCGTCTATTTTTTGTCATACTCAGTTGTTACAACTGTCTACTTTTTATCACATTTCGTTTTTGCAACCGTCTATTTCCCTGTCATAATTTAGTTATTACAATCGCCTATTTTCCTGGCATACTTAGTTGTTACAACCGTCTCTTTTCAGACACCTGAAGAAGCTGAAGCCTCAGTTCCCCGAAGATTTCCAAGACTTTGTACAGTTTATCGTGGACAGAAACCAGCTAAAAAGATATCCCAAAAACCCGACGGAGTTTGTCAACCTCATAAGTAAGGTAAGAACAAAGATTTAAAGTGATAAAATCCTAGACCGTTCATCGTCATGATCGCCATTTTTGTTTTGTTTTCGTTTTTTAGGGGGTTTATCGGGGGGGGGGGTGCGCTCTATTAAAACTCCGCATAGCATGCGCACAGTTGTCGTCTAAATAAAGCGTAAAACACCAGTCCCGTTAAAGTTCAGTTTGCGCTCCTTTTCCCTCTTGTCTTTTAATTGATTCCAAATTAAGCCAAATAGGGTGCTTTGTAGTGAACCAGAACTAAATCAGAGTGCGCGATCTAGGGTAGCATTTTAATACCAATCTATGGTCCAGAACAGAAAAGCTTTCCTGCCTTTAACTGATAACTACGTTGTTTCAGCCATAACAGGAATCACTTTTGAAATATCCTGAACTTTGTATTGATTCATTTCGATATCGCTGATTCTACGTGTGGGAGCAATATGTAGCAATGTTTTGTCAATTGTTTGACCGAGAGATAAGGATACAAGGTTTGAACTCAAGCACAAGAGATCAAGAGTTTGATTGCTGAAGGCTTTTAGGGGAATAGAACGAAGACAATAACGTGGCATGTCTCAATCTCAACACTGACGTAACAGGATTTTCGTTTCAAGATATATTATAATTAGACTGAGTGTTAAGCTGAATCATTTGGATATATATATACATTTATATATA